ATGGGATACAGATTTAGCCCTACATGAAATAAAGTAAAGGTTTCCCCTGACATTAAATCTAGTCAAGTCCAACTCTGGGGGTTGTTGCTCATTTCCATTTCTAAACCAAAGAGCTGGCATTGTCCGTAGACACCTCCAAGGTCATGTGGCTGTCATGACTGCATGGAGCACAGTTACCTTCCCGCAGGAGTGGTACCTACTGATCTACTCAAATTTGCATGTTTTTGAACTTCTAGGTTGGCAGAAGCTGGGGCTGACAGCAAGAGCTCACCCCGCTCCCCGGATTCAAACCACCAACTTTTGGTCAGCAAGTTCAGCAGCTCAAAGGTTTAACCCGCTGCGCCACTGTTTTTTTTTAATTTTCAAGAACTTAAAAATTCAGCATGTGCATATGGAATATTCATACAGGTCAACTTCAAAACCAAACACCTGCAAAATCCAACCTTTTAGATTGCTCTCATCTTCTTTCCCTGCAAACACAGAGTACACAATGTAAGATTTCCATTGTTTTTTCCACCTATTTGACAAAGCAGGTTCTAGTTGATGGAAAGTTACACCAGAATGTATGTGTGTGTGTGTATTGTGTGTCTTGCCCACAGGACTCTTGTTTTCACTGCAACAGATCAACACAGCCACCCTCCTCTGGAATTCAGGATTCTGTTGACACAGCAAGTTCCAAATGCTAAGCATTCCCCGGATTTGCGGGATCAGATCCGTGCATTTTGTTGGGACTTTTAGATAAAACTCCTAATGGGTTTGATTACATGCGGATGGTTCTTTTCAGCTGCCTTGAATTAGAGGGTTAGAGGCACAAGCCATTCCCCCCCCCTGCCCTGAGCCAGATGACAAATACCTCCCTTTTCACCAAGAAAACATACAACCGCATTCCTGAAATACTTGGTATTATTTTGGGCATCACACTGAGAAATTCCTGCACTTCTGTTCCAAAATGCCATGGATGCATGCATCCAATCTATCTCTCTTTCTCGGCTCAGTGATTGAACTGCGGTGTCCAACAACACTTCAGCACGACAAAACACACACACATATATATAAATGCACACAGATGTTTCGTGCAACCACATTATCTATGAGAATTTGCCTTTTGGAACAACAGCACAAACTCGGGACAGTAAGGAGCCTAGACATGCAAGTTACTATGAAGTCCAAAGCTTGGCCTACTCTAAATCTAGGGGGGAATCTACACTATAGAATTAATGCAGTTTGACACCACTTTAAGAGCCATGACTCAATGCTGTGGAATCGTGGGAGCTGTAGTATGGCGAGGCCAACACTGTTCATCAGAAAAAACTAAAGAGCTTGTAAAACTACAACTCCCATAATTCCACAGATTTGAATCATGGCGGTTAAAATGGTTTCAAAATGTATTAAATCTACAGTGTGACAGGCAAATGGTTGTTATATCAGAAACCCTAATTATCATATATACCAGGCATGGGCAAACTTCGGCCCTCCAGGAGTTTTGGCCGTCAACTCCCACAATTCCTAACAGCCTATCTAAAACACACGCATATATAATTGCACACAGATGTTTCGTGCAACCACATTATCTATGAGAATTTGGTTTTTGGAACAACAGCACAAACCCAGGACAGTAAGAAGCCTAGGCATGCAAGTTACTATAATAAGTACAATAAAATTATATATTTTATATTACATATAATATTACTAATAATATTACAATATAATGGTATAGTACAATATAGCAATATATAATACTGATATTGTACTATGCTAATAATATAATATATTGTATGCATATATATCTTGTAAGCCGCTCTGAGTCCCCTTTAGGGTGAGAAGGACGGCATAAAAATGGCGTAAATAAATAAATAAATACTATGAAGTCCAAAGTTTGGCCTGCTCTGATCCAGTAAATCTAGGGGAACATCTACACTATAGAATTAATGCAGTTTGACACCACTTTAACTACCATGACTCAATGCTGTGGAATCATGGGAGTTGTAGTATGGCAAGGCCAATGCTGTTCTTCAGAGAAAGCTAAAGACCCTGTAAAACTACAACTCCCATAATTCCATAGCACTGAATCATGGCAGGCAAAATGGTTTCAAACTGTATTAAATCAACAGTGTGTCAGGCAAATGGGTGTTATATCAGAAACCCTAATTACCACATATCCCAGGCATGGGCAAACTTCGGCCCTCCAGGTGTTTTGGAGTTCACCTCCCACAATTCTTAACAGCCTACCTTGATTAGCATTTAATGGCCTTGCAGCTTCAAGGCTTGGCCGCTTCCTGTCTGGGGAAATCCTTTGTTGGAAGGTGATCGGCACAATTCTTGTTCAGACAAGAAACAGTCAGGACCAGCTAACACTTCTCAACAAAGGATTCCCCCAGGCAGGAAGCAGTCAGCTTTGAAGGTACAAGGCTATTTGCAACATTCACACTTGCCTCAAGCAGACAAGAGTTCTTTCTCCCATCCTGGACATTACTCAGATATATAAACCCCACTTGCCTTGTTTCTAACATATCTCACAACCTCTGAGGATGCCTGCCATAGATGCTGTGAGTTTTCCGGGGCTGTCTGGCCATGTTCCAGAAGCATTTTCTTCTGATGTTTCATCCACATCTATGGCAGGCATCCTCAGAGGTTGTGAGGTTTCAGCTTCTGAGGATGCCTGCCATAGATGCTGGTAAAACGTCAGGAGAAATGCTTCTGGAACATGGTCATACAGCCCAGAAAACTCACAGCAACCCAGTGATTCCGGCCATAAAAGCCTTCGACAACACAATAATAATACTACTTTGCAATGTTAAGAAAGAAGGAGAGCAAACCCACCCATCACATACACGCCCCCAACAAAACGCCTTTGCAGCACACTGTAGGTCTTTTGCCTACCTCTAAAATTTTGTGTGTGTCCATTCTTTATTTGAATGGCTACCAAGCTTGGAAAGGACTGCAGATCTGTACCTGAGCAAAGCCCCAAACGGAGTGTAGGCGGGGATGGAGGAAGGGGGAAAAAAGAAAGCACCAGGAGGAAAGGAAAAACCCTGCAGAAATTCAGCAGCTGACATTCTCTGGCTGGTCACCAATAAAGGCTAGAGATAGATGGAGGAATGGGCACCCAAAGTCATGCAGAAGGTAATGGAATTATAGTGTCGGTGAGTCTACAAAAGGGATGGATTGTAGAGCACAGATTGCTGAATCAATGAATGACATCCAGTATAGAAAAAGGTAGGTGACTATAGAGAAAGCATCCAAAGGGGAGGGGGGAATAATAAGACTGACAGGTGAGAGCAAGAAATGCCTGAGAAATGTCGTAATAATAATAATAATAATAATAATAATAATAATAATCTATGCAATTTCCACCCTAAACCCAACCCACAATCTATTATTATTATTATTATTATTATTATTAATCTATGCCATTACTACCCTAAACCCAAACCACAATCAGATTAATAATTATTATAATAATATAATGTCATTTCCACCCTAAACCCAACCCACAATCAAATTAATAAGGATAATAATAACAATAATCTATGCCATTTGCACCCTAAACCCAACCCACAATCAGAATAAGAATAATAATCTATGCCATTTCCACCCTAAACCCAACCCACAATCATATTAATAATAATAATATATAATAATAATCTATGCCATTTTCACTCTAAACCCAACCCACAATCAGATAATTATTATTAATAATATAATCTATGCCATTTCCACTCCAAACCCAACCCACAATTAGAATAATAATAATATAATCTATGCCATTTCTACCCTAAACCTAACCCACAATCAGATTAATAATAATAGTGACAATATATAATAATAATCCATGCCATTTCCACCTTAAACCCAACCCACAATAATAATAATAATAATAATAATAATAATAATAATAATAATAATATAATCTATGCCATTTTCACCCTAAACCCAACCCACAATCAGAATAATAATAATAATAATAATCTACACCATTTCCACTCTAAACCCAACCCACAATAATAATAATAATAATAACAATATATAATAATCTATGCCATTTCCACCCTAAGCCCAACCCACAATCATATTATTATTATTATTAATATATAATAATAATCTATGCCATTTCCACCCTAAACCCAACCCACAATCATATTAATAATAATAATAATCTAATAATAATCCATGCCATTTCCACCCTCAACCCAACCCACAATCAGATTAATAATAACAATATATACTAATAATCTATGCCATTTCCACTCCAAACCCAACCCACAATTAGAATAATAATAATATAATCTATGCCATTTCTACCCTAAACCTAACCCACAATCAGATTAATAATAATAGTAACAATATATAATAATAATCTATGCCATTTCCACCTTAAACCCAACCCACAATAATAATAATAATATAATCTATGCCATTTTCACCCTAAACCCAACCCACAATCAGAATAATAATAATAATCTACACCATTTCCACTCTAAACCCAACCCACAATAATAATAACAATATATAATAATCTATGCCATTTCCACCCTAAGCCCAACCCACAATCATATTATTATTATTATTAATATATAATAATAATCTATGCCATTTCCACCCTAAACCCAACCCACAATCATATTAATAATAATAATAATAATCTAATAATAATCCATGCCATTTCCACCCTAAACCCAACCCACAATCAGATTAATAATAATAACAATATATACTAATAATCTATGCCATTTCCACCCTCAACCCAACCCACAACCATGCAATGCTCAATCTCAGCTTCCCTGCCATTTTTCCTAAGCCAGACCCTCCCAATGACATGGGAAGGATCACACCTCTTCTTAAGCTCATCAGCTATTTCAAGCCATGGCGCTTATAAATAAAAATTACATAAGGGCACAAAGCCTCCCCGTCTTTGCAGGCTTTGGAAAGGATCCTTATGAGACACAGCAAAAGGAGAGAGAAAAATTAAGACAGGGCCCTAAGCAAGGTCTCCACTGTACCTCCGGTGACAGAGATCCTCTCTCCTCCAAGGCCCAGCCGCAACTGAGCTGCCACTGCCTCGGGGGAGGAGTCCGGGTCCCTTCGCCACGCCCACCACGACCAATCAGAGTCGTAAAGGGGCGGGGTCTGGCTGCGAGGCTAGGATAGGCTGAAGGAGACCACCGCGCACGCCCTTTCGGATGAATGACAAGCGAGCCGGCCAACCCAAAGGAGCCGGACCCTTTTGGAAGCTGAATGGGCCTCTTTGTGTGTGAGCAGATCGTGAGAGGATGGCGAAGGCGGGCGGGGGAGGATGAATGGGGCCTATTGTCTGCTGGGAGGGGGGTTGCGGTGACGTCAGAGGCCGGACCCCCCACAAGTTGCTTCCCCAAAGCCATGCATTTCCTTCCCTCCCTTTTCCATCCCCTCAAATCATGCTGGGATCTCGCTTTCCCCCTCAGAGATCCACTAGATCCCCAAACTTGGGAAGGCCATGCTGCCAAAACATTCTATGCCATACTCTTCTGATTAATCCTCTATCATCCCACTTTAATCCCCTGTCGTCCCACTTTTTTTTCAGATGCTTTCAAAATGTCCACACTGTAGAATTAATGCAGTTTGATACCACTTTTAATTACTACTAGCTGTCCCCTGCCACACGTTGTGTGGCCCAGTCTGTGTAAATGTGTTTTGTGTGTGTTCATGTTAGAGACCCTAAATTGGGTCTTCTTAGGTCCACATTACGGGAACACGTAAGGAAGGAGACAGTCCCCCAAAAAGATCAAAAAACAAGGTTTATTTTAGTTTCTTCATGAAGAAGACGGACAGCCTGGCAGCATACGCAGATGCTACCCTTCAAGTGACTGCCGCGCCCCTCCTCTGTTTCTGCTGACTTTTATACTCAAGTAATAGGTCATTGAAAGTACTCTCTTTCCAGCCACTCTCCCTTGACCTTTTGATGGAAAGTACCTTCTTGTACCTGCAGACTCTGCGCTTAACCACAACCTTTGAACTTAACCACAACACAACTTCCGACCTCTACATGTCACATCTTGTTTCTTAAAAACATTTTCTTCCCTGTTACTCCTTTTCTACAGAGAAAAGGGTATGTTTCCCTTTTGCTGTTAATTTCATTCAAAGCCCCTTGCTTAGCATTTGCAAATTTCACTCAAAGACCCTTTCATTCATATGTTTGCGTATATATGTGGTTTTGCGCATGCATTGTAATGCATTTTTGTAATGCTTTGCTGCACTCGCAGAGCTCAGGTGAGTGGAGTAGTGACCCATTTAAGGTAACCCATTTAAGGTGGAATCAGGTGTCAAACAGGGATGTGTTATTGCCCCAACTTTATTCTCCATCTTCATTGCTATGATACTTCACCTTGTTGATGGGAAGCTTCCCACCGGAGTGGAAATCATCTATCGGGCAGACGGCAAGTTATTTAACCTCAGCAGACTAAAAGCCAAAACTAAGGTTACAACAACATCTGTTATAGAACTTCAGTATGCTGATGACAACGTTGTCCGTGCACTTTCAGAAGAAGATAATATAGATTATCTGCCTTGATATTCTGGATTATATGTCAGTGTAGAAGGGGCCTAAATGAGGCCCCATCTGTGCTGCCATATAATGCAGTTTCAGAATGCAGATTAATTGCATTGAACTGGAATATATGAGTCTATACTGCCATATAACTTAGTTAAATGCAGTTAATCTGCATTCTGAAACTGCATTATGTGGCAGTGAAGCCCCTTCTACACAGCCATTAAAATCCAGATAATCTGCTTTGAACTGGATTATATAGCGATGCAGCCTGGTGGCACAGCGGGTTAAACCACTGAACCACTGAACTTGCTGACCGAAAGGTCAACAGTTTGAATTTGGGGAGCAGGCTGAGCTCCTGCTGCTAGCCCCAGCTTCTTCCAACCCAGCAGTTCGAAAACATGCCAATGTGAGTAGATCAATAGGTACCGCTTCTGCGGGAAGGTAACGGTGCTCCATGCAGTCCTGCTGGTCTCCTGACCTTGGGGGCATCTACAGACAACGCCAGCTCTTCAGCTTAGAAATTGCCATTTTGACCACACTCTGATATTCATTGGCCATACATCTCTGAAATCCACCATGTTGTTGGTGGACAGGAAAAGAGATTTAAAGATGGGCACAAAGCCAACCTTAAAAACTCTGGCATAGACACTGTGAACTGGGAAACCCTGGCCCCTGAAGGCTCCAGCTGGAGGTCAGCTGTGACCAGCAGTGCTGCAGAATTTGAAGAGGCACGAATGGAGGCTGAAAGAGAGAAACGTGCCAAGAGGAAGGCACATCAAGCCAACCCCATCCGAGACTGTCTCCCACCTGGAAACCAATGCCCTCACTGTGGAAGAACATGCAGATCAAGAATAGGGCTCCACATCAAGCCAACCCCTACGAACCCACCACCAGGACACCGAACTTGGAGGACCATCATCCGCGGACTACAAGGGATCACCTAAGTAAGTAAAGTAAAGTAAGTAAAAAGTTATCTGTGAAATCTTGAAGGGTATGCAGTGATACCATGTAACCATGTTGGATAGAGAGCTAAACATAGACACAATATTTGTGTTGCTTTCTCCACAATGTTGCTATGTACCCGGTGTGTGAGTGGGCGTCTTTTTTCAAACCTAAAACCTGGATCATTTTTTCTCTCTGTGCTAAATGCAATCAGATCAGAGCCTTCAGATGAGGCTCAGAGCCCTTCCACACAGCCATATAACCCAGAGCCCTTCAATACAGCCCTATGTCCCAGAAGATCAAGGCATAAAATCCCACAATATTTGCTTTGAACTGGATTATTATCCACACTGCCATATAATCCAGTTCAATGTGGATTTTATACAGCTGTGTGGAAGAGGCCCGAATAATATGCCTTAAATAGTTGTTGTCCATAGCAGGATGGTCACATGAAATGGAAGACAATAGTTGAATTCAACAGGTCTAGCCTGTCATTCGAGCTTGACCTGGGGAAACTATGTTTTCGACCCAACTATTAATGGGACAGGAGCCCGTTTCTGTTTTCATGCGGCTTACCTTCAGCCATGCACACCATTTCTCATAGACTGGATCTACACTCCCATATAATCCAGTTTCCGAATCCAGATTATCTGCTTTGACCCAGACTGCAGCCAGGAAATCAGAAGACGTTTCCTTCTTGAGAGGAGAGCAAGGACCAATCTCGATAAAAGGGTGAAGAGTAGAGACATGACACTGGCAATGAAGATCCTCATAGTCAAAGCAATGGTATTCCCTGTAGTAACCTATGGACATGAGAGCTGGACCATAGGGAAGCAAAGGAAGATAGTTCAAAAGCGTCTATCTTCCTGAGCAAAGGAAAATAGACGCTTTTGAACTGGTGTTGGAGGAAAATTCGGAAAGTTACTTGACTGCAAGAAGATCCAACCAGTTCATACTCCAGGAAATAAAGCCCAACTGCTCACTGGAGGGAAGGATAGTAGAGGCAAAGATGAACTTTGACCACATTTTTTGTCGTACCAAGAGCAACTTGAGAAACTGCAAGTCACTTCTGGTGTGAGAGAATTACCTGTCTGCAAGGATGTTGTCCAGGAGACGCCCGGATGTTTTATCATGTCCCAGCATGAGGAGCTGGAGCTGATAGAGGGAGCTCATCCACGCTCTCCCCGGCTTCAAACCTCCGACCTGTCCGTCTTCAGTTCTGTCGGCACAGGGGTTTAACCCACTGCAGCACCGGGGCTCCTTCATGAGAAGACAGGAAAGCTTAGAGAAGGCAACGATCCTGGGGAAAATGGAAGGAAAAAGGAAGAGGGGCTGACCAAGGGCAAGATGTGTTGTGGCTCAGCTGGAGCTTCAGGAAGAGCAGGAAGTGGATGATGGGTTTCAGATTCCTGAACATGTCCCTATTGTTGATACAGACAATGTTGATGCTGAAGACGAGGAGTTCCTGTTTCCCATGGGAAGGGATGTTGTCTTAGAAGATGCTTCTGATCTTAGTAAAACTTCACAGGTGCAGGTGGAGGAGTCGAGCCAGCCTGTGAGCTCTCTGCCTGCTGATTCTCAGGCTGCCGATTCCCAGCTCCAGGATAATGAGTTATTTGACCTTGAAGACTCTGCAGATTTAGATAGGGTGGATCGCTTGCAATTCAGGGTTCGACGTAGTACAAGGCTTGCAAACAAGAGAGAGGTTAGAGATCAAAGGAATGCTTTCATGCTGGGAAAGTATATTTAGTGAGCTGATTGCAGGCAACCTTTTGTCAGTGCAACTTCATCGAACACCCTGTTAACTTCTTTGGATTGCCTGGGCTTTTGGGCAATGCTTTTGGCTTCTGGGGACTCTATCATGCTGCCATGAAATCTTGTTTGATCAATGCTTATGGATTATGCTTCATGTTATTTGCCTTTGGACTTTGGAAACTCTGCCTTTGCATTTAAAACTCTGTTTGGCTATTGAACTTTTGCAACTTTACTTTTGTGTTTTAGACTTTGCCTTTCCTTTAATAAACTCCAAAAACCTACAGCCTTGGTGTGTGTTGTGTTCTGAGCAAGGTGAATCTATCTTGAGGTGCGATAAGATGGGTGGTATCCTTGAAGTGACTGGCTTGACCTTGAAGGAGCTGGGGGTGGCCACGGCCAACAGGGAGCTCTGGCGTGGGCTGGTCCAGGAGGTCATGAAGAGTGGGAATCGACTGAACGAATAAACAACAAATGCTGTAATATAATCCAGTTCAAAGCAGATAATCTGGATTCAGAAACTGGTTTAAACAGCAGCGTAGACGCCTAGACGGGACCTTAGAGCAAGATCAAACAATGCCAAGCCTTTCTGAATCAAAGTATAATTATGTTTTTCAGTTTAATTTTACTCAATGCAGGATAATGCATCCCTGAATAGTATAGCAGGAGAGAAAGATAAGAGGAAAGTGAATGGCTGCCTTGAATTCCAGTTTACAGTAAGAACCCCTGTAATCAGATTCTTAGATGGACTGGAAACCATTATTAGTTTGGATCACCATTAAAATTAATCACTTCTGGTTCTATCCAACCATAGGGTTGTATTGGAGGGCTGGAGCCCCATGTAAACTGCCATATAATGCA